GTAAATGGGTTTTCAATTGTATAAAATAACATAGTCCTACACATGTAGTTTACAACTCTGAATCGACTTTTCACCCGAAACGTCCAGATTTTTGGAAAAAAAATCAAAATTATAAAACAACATTTTGAAATTTAATTTTTAATCTGCTAACCAGAATGCTTTGAAATGTTGCAGATGTTTTAAGGCTATAAAGAGCATCATAAATCTTTAGTCAAAAAATATTTGCTTATCCCCTCCAAAAACTTGATGACGTCAGCTCAAAAGTTTGTGGAATAAATCATATCTAAAATGTACAAAATATGATGAGTCTGTACTTGTGAACTATCACTCCATTCATATTTTTTGGATTTGCATATACAGGGTGACTCAAAAAAATTAATGAATGCGTAAATATATTTTATTGATTTAATCAGGAACTACAAAACCGAATGCTCTGAAATCTTGCAGATGTTTTAAGGTCATAAAGAGCATAATAAATGTTTAGTCAAAATATATTTGCTTATCCCCTCCAAAAATTTGATGACGTCAGCTCGAAAGTTTGCCGAATAAATCATATCTAAAATGTACAAAATATGATGAGCCTGTACTTGTCATTTATCACTCCATTCATATTTTTTGGATTTGCATATACAGAGTGACTCAAAAAAATTAATGAATGCGTAAATATATTTTATTGATTTAATCAGGAACTACAAAACGGAATGCTCTGACATCTTGCAGATGCTTTAAGGTTATAAAGAGCATAATAAATGTTTAGTCAAAATATATTTGCTTATCCCCTCCAAAAACTTGATGACGTCAGCTCGAAAATTTGCCGAATAAATCATATCTAAAATGTACAAAATATGATCAGTCTGTACTTGTGATCTATCACTCCATTTATATTTTTTGGATTTGCATATACAGGGTGATTCAAGAAAATAAATGAAAGCGTAAATTTATTTTACTGATTTACTCAGGAACTACAAAACCAAATGCTTCGAAATCTTGAAGATATTTTAAAATTATCATAAGCATGGTAAATTTTTGATCAAAACGTATTTGGTCGTCACCCCTAAAAAATTTATGATGTCACCACAAAATTTTGCTGAATAAATCCTATCTAAAATGTACAAAATATGGTGAGTCTCGTCTAGTGATTTATCATTCCATTCAAATTTTTTCGATTTGCATATACAGGGTGACTCAAAAAAATTAATGAATGCGTAAATTTATTTTATTGATTTAATCAGGAACTACAAAACCGAATGCTTTGAAATCTTGCAGATGTTTTAAGGTTATAAAGAGCATAATAAATTTTTAGTCAAAATATATTTGGTTATCTTCTACAAAAAACTGATGACGTCAGCTCAAAAGTTTTCCGAATAAATCGTATCTAAAATGTACAAAATATGATGAGTCTGTACTTGTGATTTATCATTCCATTCATATTTTTGGATTTGCATATGCAGGGTGACTCAAAAAAATTAATGAAGGCGTGAATTTATTTTATCAATTTAATCAGGAATTACAAAACCGAATGCTTTGAAATCTTGGGAATATTTTAAAGTTATTATAAGCATGGTAAACTTTTGTTCAAAATGTATTTGTTCATCCCTCCTAAAAAAATTGATGACGTCACCCTTAAATTTTGCTGAATAAATCCTATCTAAAATGCAAAAAATATGATGAGTTTGTACTTGTGATTTATCATTCCATTCATATTTTTTAGATTTTCTTAAGAGGTGGTTCAAAAAAATTAATGAAGTCAATTTATTTTATTGATTAAATTAAAGGCAACACTTATTATTAGTATTACAACCCAACCAACCCAATTTGGTAGACACAAAATTTGTTAAAGGAAAAACTCGGTTGAAACATAAGGGTAGCACGCTTATTTACATCGACTTTAACATTACAGACCTGCATTTGTTTTATGCGTTCACTTGATTCCGCGAATGTGAAATAGACATGTTTATAATCAACCAATTGTGAATTTCACCGTCAAGAATTAAAATAAAACCCAATGTTTTATATAATAAGCGGAAGTCGAAGCAATAAAACCGACGGTCGTTTTGTTTACAGTTTCTCTGTTTGGCTCTCACGTATGCTGTTACGCCTGTCATCTTAAATTAAGAATGTTTATACATACACGATTTTCAGTTGCCTCTGATACGTAGGTATACGTGAGTAAATTGTTTCGTTATTTTATTGATTATTACAAATCAATATTCAAACGACCCAATTCATTTTCCCGAAAATTTGAGAATATAATAATTTTATTCTTAGTATTACACTACATCTATCCCAACTGATATACGTGTCCTTGCAAAAATGTTGATGACGTCAGCGCAATTTTTTTTTAAATTCCCCACTACAAAAATGTAATGAGAAAAAAAACACAATAGGCATGCAGTCGTCAAGTTTCCGACAGCGAGGGAAGTACTGTCTAAACTCTTTAGACCAATTTTTTGGATTTGCATATACAGGGTGACTCAAAAAAATTAATGAATGCGTAAATATATTTTATTGATTTAATCAGGAACTACAAAACCGAATGCTCTGAAATCTTGCAGATGTTTTAAGGTCATAAAGAGCATAATAAATGTTTAGTCAAAATATATTTGCTTATCCCCTCCAAAAACTTGATGACGTCAGCTCGAAAGTTTGCCGAATAAATCATATCTAAAATGTACAAAATATGATGAGCCTGTACTTGTCATTTATCACTCCATTCATATTTTTTGGATTTGCATATACAGAGTGACTCAAAAAAATTAATGAATGCGTAAATTTATTTTATTGATTTAATCAGGAACTACAAAACCGAATGCTTTGAAATCTTGCAGATGTTTTAAGGTTATAAAGAGCATAATAAATTTTTAGTCAAAATATATTTGGTTATCTTCTACAAAAAACTGATGACGTCAGCTCAAAAGTTTTCCGAATAAATCGTATCTAAAATGTACAAAATATGATGAGTCTGTACTTGTGATTTATCATTCCATTCATATTTTTGGATTTGCATATGCAGGGTGACTCAAAAAAATTAATGAAGGCGTGAATTTATTTTATCGATTTAATCAGGAATTACAAAACCGAATGCTTTGAAATCTTGGGAATATTTTAAAGTTATTATAAGCATGGTAAACTTTTGTTCAAAATGTATTTGTTCATCCCTCCTAAAAAAATTGATGACGTCACCCTTAAATTTTGCTGAATAAATCCTATCTAAAATGCAAAAAATATGATGAGTTTGTACTTGTGATTTATCATTCCATTCATATTTTTTAGATTTTCTTAAGAGGTGGTTCAAAAAAATTAATGAAGTCAATTTATTTTATTGATTAAATTAAAGGCAACACTTATTATTAGTATTACACCCCAACCAACCCAATTTGGTAGACACAAAATTTGTTAAAGGAAAAACTCGGTTGAAACATAAGGGTAGCACGCTTATTTACATCGACTTTAACATTACAGACCTGCATTTGTTTTATGCGTTCACTTGATTCCGCGAATGTGAAATAGACATGTTTATAATCAACCAATTGTGAATTTCACCGTCAAGAATTAAAATAAAACCCAATGTTTTATATAATAAGCGGAAGTCGAAGCAATAAAACCGACGGTCGTTTTGTTTACAGTTTCTGTGTTTGGCTCTCACGTATGCTGTTACGCCTGTCATCTTAAATTAACAATGTTTATACATACACGATTTTCAGTTGCCTCTGATACGTAGGTATACGTGAGTAAATTGTTTCGTTATTTTATTGATTATTACAAATCAATATTCAAACGACCCAATTCATTTTCCCGAAAATTTGAGAATATAATAATTTTATTCTTAGTATTACACTACATCTATCCCAACTGATATACGTGTCCTTGCAAAAATGTTGATGACGTCATCGCAATTTTTTTTTAAATTCCCACTACAAAAATGTAATGAGAAAAAAAACACAATAGGCATGCAGTCGTCAAGTTTCCGACAGCGAGGGAAGTACTGTCTAAACTCTTTAGACCAATTTTTTAAATTATGGGACTTTAAAACATTTCTTTATTTGTTTCAATTTTTCGACTTTTCAATTTTCTGATTTATAATTTTTCTTTTTTTCGATGCGAAAATCTTCAATTTTTAGATTTGCAATTTTCGGTTAAATTTTCCTACTTTGGGAATTTTTTTAGTTTTCCGTTTTTTCAATTTTAGATTTTTCAGTTTCACGATTTTTCATTTGTTCAATTTATGATTTGCAGTTTTTCTAGTTTTCATTTAAAATATGTAATCTTAAAAAAATTTCACTTTTTCAATTTTACAATTTTAGAATTTTTTCATGTTTCAATTATGGGATTTTAAAAATTTATTCGACTTTTCAATTTTTCAGTTCTACAATTATTCATTTCCTCTAATTTTCGTTTCGATTCTTTGTTTTTACAATTTTTCGATTTCCATTTTTTCGTTTCGGTGCTTTATTTTCTTTGTTTCAATTTTTCGACTTTTCGATGTTCTTTCGATGTGAAACTTTTTAATATTTTGACTTGCAATGTTTAGATTTGAAATTTTTCGGTTTAATTTTTTTTTAATTTTCTATTTTCAGATTTGTCAATGTTTGATTTGCAATTTTTCTAGTTTTCATTTAAAATATATAATAATCTTAAAAAAATATCACTCAGTATTTCAATTTTAGAATTTTTTCATTTTTCAATTATTTATCATTTCAACATGAAATTTTTCAATTTTAATTTTTCTATTTTTTGATCTGCAATTTTTGTAGTTTTCATTAAAAAAAAAAATGTAATAACACAAAAATTTTGACTTCAACTTTACGATAAATTTTTCCCAAAATATTGAAAATTAAAACAAAAAAAAAAAACGTCATGAAACGTCGAGAAAATCCAGTGTTAAATACATACTTACCACAAAAATAACTTATATACGACAATCACGTAATGATATCCATTTCCCACGAGCATATATATACTCGTAGGAAATGAGTATTACTTCCTTCAAAAATACTCACGAACTGCACGAAGGGCTGCATCGCATTTCCATTATCGTACGACACCGACTCCGTGTCCGACTCGCAGATCGAACTCAGTGACTCCGTGTCGGACGCCGCCACCTCCGGGTGCTCCAGCAACCAGCAAACTATAGACTCCGGCGTCGTCAAATTATCAGGACCTATAGCTACAACCGGCGTTACTTCAGCCCACAATTTCACACCCTTTTTTATTTACCTAAAGACTTGATCGCCGTCTCCACCGCCCTCTTCGTGAACCCCATCTCCACAATCTGCGACACCATCGGGTGAAGCGGCACCTCCTCGCTCTCCTTCTTCTTCGGCTTCTCGCTGACGACGCTCTTCACCGAACACTCGCTATTCGGAGTCTGCACCTCGCTGTTGCACCTGGTGCAATACTTGGGGGTGGTCTTGTCGTTGTTGACGCTCCCCGACGAGGCGAAGTTGCCTTCGGCCGCCAAGTACTGACTCAAATTGAGGGCTGCTAGTTGCATTTCTTGTCTGGTGAAGCCCGGTTTCAGTGGGCTGGGTTGCGTGGCTTTGGCTAACAGTTTCTGGATCAGGAGAATCGGTTGTTGGTTGAGTTCTTCCTCGATCGATTGTTGTTCTTGCGATTGGTCCATGCCGTTGATTGCGTGCTTGAGGACTTTTCTTAGTTTGTATTGGTTGCCGTTGAGCATTCGAGCCGCGTTTAACGCACTTAAGGTGTTGTGCTGGGTCCGAAGATACGCGGCGTTGACCTGGCCATGAAGAGGCTTTTTCTCGTGGCTGTTGAGGGCCGTGCTTTGTCGATTCAACAATAAGCTGGCCCAAGTTTTAATCATACTCTCGCTTAAGGGCATTCTATCGAAGTTGTATTCTAGTTGCGGCAGCAACTTCATGCCGTTGATCGACACCTTTTTGTTTTCTCCGGTTTCGTGTATTTGGACACAGAGTTTACCTTTCGGGGTGACTCTAACCACTGTACCTTGCAGACCTTCCAGTTCCACGACACTTCCAATTCGTGGCCGGACGTCCCAAGCACCAATCACATTCAAGCACGCTATCACCATGTAATGCTGTTGGTCGGACGTGTTGCCGTCGTTAATCATCGACATCAAGCAAGTGTCGCTCAAGAAATAAGCCGCTAGATTAAGCTTCTGCGCTAAAATTGCGTTCAACACCTGATTCCAACCGACTAAGCCGTGAAGACACCTCAACAAGTTGATAATTTCTTGACCCAAGGTGCTACTGTGCGACTGAGTCAAAAGCACCAAAGATTTAGCCCCTTGAGGCTTATTCCCGGTGTCGTAGGAACACGTCAGGATTATCTTCCCCAAGATATTCAACAACTTCTCCAGCAAACCCGGGATTTCCGAATTATCCATATCCCAAGATTGTAGAACCGTGAGCAGGAATCTAACGGCGAAAATCTGCTTGGGAAGGTTCAGTTCGTTCCCGCAGATGTTGCTAGGGGCTGATAGGAACCCCAAAAGCATGTTAATCCACGGTTTCGTGCTAAAAGCGCGACACATCTGTGTGGTCTGGGCGATGCTGCGCACCAACGTCAAGTTGCACCACTCCGAAATGGTGGGGGCGCTCAAGGTCGCACAGAAAAGGCTACTTAAGCCGTGTATCGTGGTGGGGTGAAGATTACTTTGCGCTAAACCGGCACTTATCGACACATTCCGGAGAAAATTCACGCTTGCGTCGCGGAGGAGTTTGATGAGTTGGTTGTCTTTGACGATTTGGGAAGCTGCTTGAAAAATACTTAGCAAAATGACGTCACCAATTTTCCGGTGGGGATACTTACTGTGGTCGCTCGGTTCTTCCGTGTCCGTGTCCGTGGTGACGGGCGACGGCGGCGACGCCAGCGCCAGGTCGTACTTCCCCTCGATCCCCATCCTGTAGCTGTTCGTCGTACCGTTAGCCCACTCCACACGCACCCACCCGTCGTCCCCCAACTCCCCTATCACTCTACCTTCCCCGGGCGGACACCCATCCTGGTCCCCCCACTTCCAATCAGCTCCTCTCACTACCTTGGTCCCCAATTTCATCAAAGCGGCAAGCTCCGGACCACTCAAACAACTAGTCTTGGGTTTATTATTATCAATAATGTCAGCGTACAAAACGTAGAACTCTGATACCTTCCGGACGATGCTCTGATCGCAGCCGGTTTGTTTCAAGAGAGCTAAAACCGAACTGATGACGCCGCTATTGACCAAAGGACTGAGTTCCAAAGAGGTGTATCGGTTCGAAGCGAGGATACCCAAAATGGCTAGGATCATTCGTGCTCTGGGGACGTCTCTGAGGAGGGTGTAGGTACCCAGATTGAGAGTAACTTTGGCGTTTGTTCCTTTAGTTTTACCAGTCTTGGCTGGGACGTCCCTCAAAATAAACCCACGCAGATTATCGATACACCACTCGGTGACCGACAGCTGCGACAACAAAATCTCGGTTTTCATGAACGGCGTCACTAATTGGATGTTGTCCAAACAGTGCTGAGTATTCTCGGATTTCGCATGGACGTTCAAGTACCCGTTGATTATCGCGTACTTGACCGAGTTGAGTAAGGAGTTTTCGTGCAAGAGGCGATTAATCAACCACAGACCCTGTTTGCGGATTTTGCACCGCTTCACCTGAAACACGACGCGTTTTCACCTGACACCTTCCGACTACGACCAGTGGCGTCTACCCACCTGAAAATACATAGCTTTTCTGAGAATCTCCACGTCGCAGGTCTCCTGCACCACGAACTCCAAAATCGCGCTCATCAACTCCAAGTTCTCGCCGCAGACCTTCTTCATTTGTCGCTCCGTCAACTTACTCACTATCCCGCTCAGAGCGATTTCGTTCTCGATTTTCTTCTCCTTGTCTTCCTCGCTTTGTTCCGTCCTCGCGTCGTTCTCGATCTTCTCCACGTTCCATTCCACGCGGGTTTTGGGCGGGTCGGAGCGACTCTCGGCTGAGGCTTTCTGCGCTCCGTTTTTAATCTCGTTGTTGACGTCGTCGGTTTCGCTTTTGCTCTCTGATATTTTCCCGTCGGAGGAGGTCTTCTTCATGGAAGATTTGCTGACGTCTTCGTTCGAACGGTGTCTTTCGCTCTGTGATTGTATGGTGGCGTTGACGATGTCCTCGGGTTTTTGGATCTCGGAGGTGTGGCGACCGCACTTGAGGTCTTTGATGACTTTTCTCACTAGAGTGCGCACTCGCGGTTCTTTATACAGGATGTTGACTTTTTTGAAGGCTTCCATTTCGACGCTGACGCTGGGTCTGACGTCGTACAACAAAAACCTGCATTTTTCTAGAAGCGGGATACAGATTTCTTTGTAGCTTTTGTTTAGTTCTTGACGCATTTTAATGAGGTTCCACTTGGTGGTGTGGACTAGCTTGATCATCTCGGCTATGGCTTTGGGTACTTTGACGTTCGGTTGGGACGAGTCTGGCGAAACATCGCGACTGGCATTACGAGAACTCTCGAACTGTGCTAATCTACTTACATGCATCTAAAATGGGTAGCACGACATATCCCAATCCTAAATGTTTCAACAAAACGGCATATAGAACTCTACCGATTTCTTCTATAGGGTGTTCAAAAGAAAAATCCACTCTGGTCAAAAAATTATTCTGCTTTGAGTGCTGCTCTACTATTGCGAGAAACGATATGACATAAGAGTCCTGGTAAAGAAAGAGTAAACAGCTAGACTAACACCACGTGAAGGAAAAACTCACGGAAAGGCGACTCTCGGCCAAAGCGTTTATGAATGAGTTGATGCGGTCGATAGGCAGCTGGAATTTTTTCGAGATTCTTTGAGTATCGTTGACTCGAGGCTCGGTTGGAGTATTTTCGGTCGTCGAGTTGGTACTCCTGGACTCGCCCTTTTCCTCGCCGTAGGGGTTCGGGGGTTGGTCGACCTGGAACATGGATGTTACGTTCAGTTCAGGTCGGGTTGGGTCAGAAAATTGACACGAGATCTACTTAAGAAAGTTTTGAGTTGACGTCATCAAATTCTTGGAGGGAATGATCAATTGTGTTAATATCCACGAAATAGTTTCAAATGCTTATTACAGTCGTGTCAATCTATACCAAGTGTCTGGAAAATGGCGGATTAACTCTTCAGTTGTGCATTATTATTAATAAAACAAGCTCTTATTTTATATTAATAAGCAAACTAAAAAAAAAAAAAAATCAAAAAAATATTTAAAAATTCCTGCATTGTGCATAGAAGTAAGCTCGTAATGTTTACAAATTTTGATCATTTTTTGTAAAAGTTAGTCATCAGTACATGCTAAGATAGAACTGATTTTGGCTCTAAGGAAAGAGAGGGTGGGTGGGCGGAGCCAGTAGCTGCTAAAATAAGACTGATTTTGACTAATGAGATACCTTTTAAAAAAAGAAGTACTAGTCCCGCCAACCCACTCTTTATTTTCTTAGAAGACTAGGTCATCTGCCAAAATCAATCTTATCTTGGCAAGTATGAGACTGATTTTGCCAGATGACCCACTCTTCTAAGAAAATAAAAGTGGGTGGGCGGGGCTAGTACTTGTTAAGATAAGATTGATTTTGGCAAATGACAGGACCTCTAAGGAAACAGAGGGTGGGTGGGCGGGGCTAGTACGTGCCAAGGAAAGACAGATTTTGGCAAATCATATATCCGCTAGAAAATAAAGGGTTAAAACTAACCCAGCCACATCCGCTTTTGAATTTCACTGGTTTTTTGATTAGATGAGAAACGAATTTAATTTTGTCAAGTGGTCCAATCTACGCTTAAAAAAATTCAAAGTGGCCCCGCCCACCAACTCGGTTTTCCTCCTGATCACTCATTCTATTGGACAAAAAGGAAATTTTATAGTGACAAACAACGAAATCTAGGCAAAAAAACGTAAAATTAATCCCACCCACCACCGGTTTTGAATTTCATTGTTTTTTTTTTTTTATTAGATGAAAACTGAATTTTACGACGTCAAGTGGCGAATTAGGCTTAAAAAATTCAAAGTGGCCCCGCCCACCCTCCCGGTTTTCCTTCTGATCATTCATTTTATTGGACAAAAAGTAAAACTAACACCACCCACCTCCGCTTTTGGATTTCATTGATTTTTTTCGATTAGATGAAAACTGAATTTTACTACGTCAAGTCGCAAATTAGGCTTGAAATATTCAAAGGCCCACCCAACCTCTAAGAAAAGAGAGGGTGGGTGGGCGGGGCTAGTACGTGTAAGAGTGATTTTGACAAATGACACACCAACTAAGAAAATAGAGGGCTAAAACTAACTCCACCCACCTACGCTTCTGAATTTCATTCCCTTATCTGGTTAGATGGAAAACGAATTTTATTTTGTTGAGTGGCCAATCTACTTCCAAAATTTCAATTTAAAATATACCCCCCAAGAAAAACTAGGGTGGGTGGGCGGATCTAGCACCTGCTAAGATAAAACTGATTTTGGCAAATGACATACCCCCCAAGAAAAAATAGGATGGGTGGGCGGGGCTAGTACCTGCTAAGAGAAAACTGATTTTGGCAAATTACATAACCTCTAAGAAAAGAGAGGGTGGGTGGGAGGGGCTAGTACGCGCTAAGGTAAGAGTGATTTTGGCAAATGACACATCCACTAAGAAAATAGAGGGCTAAAACTAACCCCTACCACGTCCGCTTTTAAATTTCACTGGTTTTTTGATTTGATGAAAACTGAATTTCATTTTGTCGAGTGATCCAGTCTACGCTTAAAAAACTTCAGTGGCCCCGCCCACCCAACCGGTTTTCCTTCTGATCTTTCATTTTATTGGACAAAAAGGGTGTTTCATATTGATAAACATTGGAATCTAAACAAAAAGGTAAAACTAACCCCGCCCACCTCCGCTTTTGGATTTCATTGTTTTTTTTCATTAGATGAAGACTGAATTTTACTAAGTCAAATGGCGAACTAGACTTACAAAAATTCAAAGCGGACCCGCCCACCCACCCGGTTTTCTTTTCGGTCACTCATTTTATTGGACGAAAAGTGCATTTTCTATTGAATAACAGTGGAATCTAGTAATCTACACAAAAAGCTAAAACTAACTCCACCCACCTCCGCTTTTAAATTTCATTGCCTTATCTGGTTGGATGGAAATCGAATTCTATTTTGTCGGGTGGCCTAATCTACTCCTAAATATTCAAAGTGGCCCCGCCCACCCACCCGGTTTTCCTTCTGATCACTCATTCTATTGGACAAAAGGGGAATTTTAAAGTGACAAACAACGAAATCTGAAAAAAAAGTAAAGCTAATCCAACCCACCACCGTTTTTGATGTTCATTGGTTTTTTGATTAGATGAAGACTGAATTTTACTACGTAAGTGGCGAATTCGGCTTCAAAAATTCAAAGTGGCCACGCCTACCCAGCCTCTAAGAAAAGAGAGGGTGGATGGGCGGAGCTAGTACTTACTAAGATAAGACTAATTTTGGCAAATGACATAACCTCTCTAAGAAAAGAGAGGGTGGGTGGGCGGGGCTGGTACGTGCTAAGGTAAGAGTGATTTTGACAAATGACACACTAGCTAAGAAAATAGAGGGCTAAAACTAACTCCACCCACCTCCGCTTCTGAATTTCATTCCCTTATCTGGTTAGATGGAAAACGAATTTTATTTTGTTGAGTGGCCAAACTACTTCTAAAATTTCAAAGTGGCCCCGCCCATCCACCCGGCTTTCTTTCTGATCACTCATTCTATTGGATAAAAGGGGAATTTTAATATTTTAAAGTGACAAACAACGAAATCTGGACAAAAAACGTAAAATTAATCCCACCCACCACCGCTTTTGAATTTCATTGGTTTTTTTGAGTAGATGAAGACTCTATGAAGTGGCGAATTAGGCTTAAAAAAACCTCTAAGAAAAGAGAGGGTGGGTGGGCGGGGCTAGTACCTGCTAATATAAGACTGATTTTGGTAAATGACATACCCCCCAAGAAAAGATAGGGTGGGTGGGAGGGGCTAGTGCCTGCTAAGATAAAACTGATTTTGGCAAATCACATAACCTCCAAGAAAAGAGAGGGTGGGTGGGCGGGGCTAGTACCTACTAAGATAAAACTGATTTTGGCAAATGACGTAACCTCTAAGAAAAGAAAGGGTGGGTGGGCGGGGCTAGTACGTGCTAAGGTAAGAGTGATATTGGCAAAAGACATATCCACAAAGAAATAAAGGGCTAAAACTAACCCCTACCACGTCCGCTTTTAAATTTCACTGGTTTTTTGATTAGAGGAAAACTGAATTTAATTTTGTCAAGTGGTCCAATCTACGCTTAACACACTTCAAAGTGGCCCCGCCCACCCACTCGGTTTTTCTCCTGATCACTCATTCTATTGGACAAAAGAGGAATTTTATAGTGACAAACGGCGAAATCTAGACAAAAAACGTAAAACTAACCCCACCCACTTCCGCTTTTGGATTTCATTGTTTTTTTGATTAGATGAAGACTGAATTTTACCATGTCAAATGGCGAACTAGACTTACAAAAATTCAAAGTGGCCCGCCCGCCCATCCGGCTATTACTTGCCAAGATAAGTCTGAACAATATTTAGAGTAGTCGTTGGAATGAAGAGGGGGTGGGTAGGCGGGGCTACTGCTTGCTTATAAAAGATTATGTAAGAAACAGTTAAAGTTAGCCCCGCCCACCCACCCGTTCTTTTTTTCTTCTGAAATAAGAAATGCATGTTTACCGCAAATAATATGACAAAAAAATAGGATTATCGTTCTTTCTTTTCTTTTTAATAGCCCAGGTTCTGTTAGTTTCTTGCCACTTTACAGAAGAACATATAATTAAATCCACCCACTTAGCCCGCCTTCATTTTAGTGATTCATTGGATCTAAGTGAAAGATGGATTTTATACTGATGAACAGAAATAAAATCGTTAAAATGAGAATAGAGATTTTGGCAAAGATAAGACTGAACAATATTTATAGTAGTTAGTTACCGGAATGAAGAAAGGGAGGGTGTGTGGGCGGAGCTACTGCTGGTTTATAAGATTCTGTGGAAAAAACTAAGCTCGACCCCGCCCACCTCTTTTCTTCATTCCTCTAACTTATTTTCTTTATTGTAAAATGGGAGTTGAATTCTATTTTGACAAGCGGTAGAATCTAGGAATTAAAACAAAGTCAAAAGATTAATTTGTGTATTCATTTTAAAATTACAAAGCCATATAGGGAAAATGAGAAAAAACAGAAAAATTGTTTTTTTTTCGAAAATTCAAATTTTTTAATGGTGATTGTATTTTTTTTTTAAATGAAAATAAATTTTGGAAATTATGTTTGCAAACATATTTTGAAAAAATCACCCTAGTTGTTTTAAGCCACAGAATTGCAAATTTTGTTCCTAAAATTCTACATTCTTTCAAATTTTTTTGAACTGAATTGAGCTTTTAAAATTATTTCGAAAAATTTCGATAGTTGAGTCAAGGCATTAAATTTTCTTGAAAACAAAAATTTTCGTAGTGAAAAATTAATAATTAGATTAACGATCTTTGGATTTAAAGATAATAATTAACAGTATTACGAGTGGTTACTAGATTGAAAAGGGGGTGGGTGGGCGGGGCTATTGCTTGCTTATAGAAGTCTGTGAGAAAAACGTAAAGCTAATCCCACCCACCACCGTTTTTTATTTTCATTAGTTTTTTGATTAAATGAAGACTGAATTTTACTACATCAACTGGCGAATTGGGCTTCAAAAATTCAAAGTGGCCACGCCCACCCAACCTCTAAGAAAAGAGAGGGTGGGTGGGCGGGGCTAGTACGTGCTAAGGTAACAATGATTTTGACAAATGACACACCACCTAAGAAAATAGAGGGCTAAAACTAACTCCACCCACCTCCGCTTCTGAATTTCATTGCCTTATCTGGTTAGATGGAAATCGAATTTTATTTCCGGTTTTACTTCTGATCAGTCATTCTATTGGATGAAAGGGGAATTTTAATATTTTAAAATGACAAACAACGAAATCTGGACAAAAAACGTAAAATTAATCCCACCCACCACCACTTTTGAATTTCATTGGTTTTTTTGATTAGATGAAGACTGAATGAAGTGGCGAATTAGGTTTAAAAAAACCTCTAAGAAAAGAGAGGGTGGGTGGGCGGGACTAGTACGTGCTAAGGTAAGAGTGATTTTGGCAAATGACATATCCACTTAGAAAATAGAAGGCTAAAACTAACCCCTACCACGTCCGCTTTTAAATTTCACTGGTTTTTTGATTAGATGAAAACTGAATTTAATTTTGTCAAGTGGTCCAATCTACGCTTAAAAAACTTCCAAGTGGCCCCACCCACCGACCCGGTTTTCCGTATGATCATTCATTTTATTGGACAAAAAGTGGGTTTTATATTGGAATCTAGACAAAAAGAATAAACTAACCCCGCGCACTTTCGCTTTTGAATTTCATTGTTTTTTTTTTTGATTAGATGAAGACTAAATTTTACGATGTCAAATGGCGAACTAGACTTACAAAAGTTCAAAGTAACCCGCCCACCCACCCGGCTATCACTTGCCAAGATAAGACTGAAGAATATTTAGAGTAGTCATTGGAATGAAGAGGGGGTGGGTAGGCGGGGCTACTGCTTGCTTATAAAAAAAGACTGTAAGAAAAAGTTAAACTTAGCCCCGCCCACCCACCCGTTCTTTTTTTCTTCTGAAATAAGAAATGCATTTTTACCGCAAATAATATGACAAAAAAATAGGATTATCGTTCTTTCTTTTCTTTTTTATTGCCCAGGTTCTGTTAGTTTCTTGCCACTTTACAGAAGAACATATAATTAAATCCACCCACTTAGCCCGCCTTCATTTTAGTCATTCATTGGATCTAAGCGAAAGATGGATTTTATAGTGATGAACAGAAATAAAATCGTTAAAATGAGAATAGAGATTTTGGCAAAGATAAGACTGAACAATATTTATAGTAGTTACTCGAATGAAGAGAGGGAGGGTGTGTGGGCGGAGCTACTGCTAGTTTATAAGATTTTGTAGGAAAAAACTAAACTCGGCCCCGCCCACCTCGTTTCTTCATTCCTCTGACTTATTTTATTTATTGTAAAATGGAAATTGAATTCTATTTTGACAAGCGGTAGAATCTAGGAATTAAAACAAAGTCAAAAGATTAATTTGTGGATTTATTTTAAAATTACAAATCCATATAGGGAAATTGAGAAAAAACAGAAAAACTGTTTTTTTTTCGGAAAATTTAAAATATTTTTATAATTTTTTTAACTGAATTGAGCTTTTAAAATTATTTCAAAAAATTTCGATAGTTGAGTCAAGGCATTAAATTTTCTTGAAAAAAAAACATTTTCGTAGTGAAAAATTAATAATTAGATTTAGGATCTTTGGATTTGAAGATAATAATTTGCAGTATTACGAGTAGTTACTAGAATGAAAAAGGGGTGGGTGGGTGGGGCTATTGTTTGCTCATAGAAGTCTCTGTGAGAAAAACGTAAAGCTAATCCCACCCACCACCGTTTTTGATTTTCATTAGTTTTTTGACTAGATGAGGACTGAATTTTACTACGTCAAGTGGCGAATTAGGCTTCAAAAATTCAAAGTGGCTACGCCCACCCAACCTCTAAGAAAAGAGAGGGTGGGTGGGCGGGGCTAGTACCTTGGTAAAATAAGACTGATTTTGGCAAATGAGGTACCTCTAATGAATTTAATTAAATTGTTATAAAAAAAGACAGGTCAGGTCAGAATTTTCCAAAAATAGAACACCACAGTCCCTCAAAATTGCTTTAAATAATTTCCAAAAAAAAAAAATCCATGAGTTCCCAAAATAATACACCACGGGTACCCAAATACCGAGGCACTCATGACTTTTCAAATTCGTAAAATTTAAGAGCGTAGCGAAGAGTTAATCCGCCTTTTTCCAAACACCCGGTATACACTGTGTGACACTGATTACATCATAAATCAAGCACGATATGTAGAAAAGATAACAATTACACGTCTAATAAGTGGAGAATTTATCCGTTTCGGAACAGACGTCTACGCAAAATCAATCAGGCAGAAAGTGACACCTAAAGAAATATGAAACCTATTGTCATAGTACATATTAACAATCATGAAACAAATGATGTACACTCATTGTTTTTAACGAAGTAATTTGCGAACACGCGTTTCTTAATTGAGCTGTCAACTTTAAACGTCAACCACAATTGAAAAAAAAAAATGTATGCGAGCGAGCGTTGTAGAAACTGTTTGTAGAACTTTACATTTTACAACACACCATTGGACATGTGACAGTTTGTTTTAAAATGTTAGGTTATATTTTTGGATTTATGTCAAATGAAATTCCAACGCCAATGTGATTGTTTCAACGCAACAATAAAATTTGAAATACTCCACCTGCAGACCTGCCCGCAGGAAGCGGGCGTTCAGCCACTGGCTCGAAGCGCTCTCTTCGCTCTGCAGCGGCAAGCTCTGCCTCAGGTTGAAGGCGTGCAACCCCAGCAGGTACCCCAGGTTGCGCTCGGTGTCGAACAGGGTCGAGTAGACATGCAGACTGTCCGCGCTGCTCTGGGGGAACTCGGGTTCGGGTTGACAGTAATTCCCCACGACGTAGTTCTCCATCATTTGCAGCACCGATAAGTGGTAGGCGGAGCTATTGAAGAACTGCGTCGCGTCTTTGCCGGCGTACTTCTGCAGCAGCTCGGTGATGGAGGAGTTGTCGCACCTGAAGTCCTGGACGTCGTAGACTTTGTTGTTGATGAGGACCCACAAGCCGCCGTCCATGTTGTGGTTGTCCAAGTCGGCTTTGCGGATCAGGGGGAGGTCGTCGTAGGGTTTGTGGGTGTAGTGGCTCTGCTTGGTTTGAGTGACGCCGCGCCAGGAGATGTCGTCCACGTCGGAGGAGTCCACGTCCGGCGACAGCCGACACAGTTTGTCCAGGCTCTTTAGCACCTCGCCGAAGACGCTTAACCAATTGACCGACGTCAAAAACATCGGTACTTCGGTTTCGAGGAGGATGAGGCTGCAGATCAACTCCGGGAGCAAGATTCCTGGAAAACATGACTCAACTATACTCGGTTTACCGAATAGATGGAATTGTAGTTTTTTTGGGAAAACCATTTTCGAACAGTTTTATTCGCTTTGTGTGAATTATCGTTTTTTTTTCACAATTTTGGAGAATCAAGTAATGAAATCAACGCCTAGGTGTCGTCAATAACAACAATCAAAAAAACAAAATTTATTACGGGAAGTTATTTGCTGGTGTTAATTCTCTGCCATTGTTTCGAGCGATACAGAGGCTGAAGTGATTACCCCTCATTATATTTAGCAGGCTATTTAAGCAAGAGCAATTAACTATCATTTCATTTCTTTCCAAAATGCATCCAATATGGTTCGTGTTTCTCGTCTCCTTTACAATTATCGCGGTAAGTTAATACTTTACTTAGAAAAGAGTATGTTGAAGACATACTTAAGTCCCTAACGTGCTTTATTTTTAGCCCCCCACGGAGGGCTCAATTTGGCCCTACGCAGGAAACATGGATCCGTCTCCACTGTCCACAGAAGTCCAGTATGACCCCTCGTTTGCCATGCAGGCAAACGACATGAATACTGATATGCTTTCCACAGAATACACTGACGTGGAGACGGATTCGTTCGCTACGTCGGCGTACCGTCAGCCAAGGATCATCACCGGGATATTCAGCGCTGGTGGCATCGTGGTGCTGATGCTCCTTGAAAGAGTCTTCTATTGGTTCAAGACCTTACTTGGGTTCCCGATACGTGTAATCAAGGCCATCCTCTCAGCACCTTTTAGAATTATATACACCATCTTCAATTTTCCGTTGTTCCTTCTGAACTTACCCGTCACAATAGTAACAAAAATAATGCAAACAATCCGGTTTATTTTGTCTCCTATTACAAGAACACTAAGGCTTGTCGCGAAAATTACTAGATTTTTGTTGGGTTATCCAGTTAAGGTGTTCAACACAGAGTACATATTTTGGAGCCTATATGGGTTTTAAGAAAAAAGTTTTGTGACAATAAAGTAGAAGTAAAATTGTGTGTTTGCTTACTCTACCATATGTACGAAGTGCAGTAAGTATCAAAAACAAGTACGATATAATAAATAATTTGCTCGAATTCTGACACCCTAATTGAATTCAGCTACATTTTTTTGTATGAAAAAAATAATAAATGAGCAAAAATCTGATATCATTTAGTCACGTTAAATTTCTTGCGCGAGACGTAGCCGAGAAATGAACAATATAATTTCTTTGTGAACCAATTGAAAAAAAAAAAAAAACAATATGAATGAAATTAAAAATTGGAAATAAATGAAAATATAAAAAAAAAGTTTCCCCCAAAGATTTAAAATATACATAAACTGATTGTTGCAAATTACATATTACCCTAAGAAAATAGAGGGCGGGTGGGTAGGGCTATTGCTTGCTTATAAAAAATTCTGTAGGAAAAACTTAAACTTGGCCCCGCCCACCCACCCGTTCTCTCATTTTTTTCTTCACAAATAAGAAATAAATATTATAGCAAATAAGTTACAATTAACGCTTCAGCAGCCCACGTTCTATTAGTTCCCATTCTCACTTTACAAAAGAAACAGTAATTCACCACGCCCACCCACCCCCGCCTCCATTTCAGTGATTTTGTCTATTCCGAATGAAAGATGGATCTCAGTTGAAGAGAGATAAAATCATTAGAATGGGAGTGTGTGGCGGGCTAGTATCTGCTAAGATAAGATTGATTTTGGTAAATATTACATCTTCTAAGAAAAAACGGGTGGGTGGGTGGGGCTCCCGCTTGCTCATAAAACTATAAAAAAGCTAAATTTAGCCCCGCCCACCTTCTTTCTCCACTTCACGACGTCATCAACATGGACAATTCTAGTCACAGCATAAAAGAAAAGTAGTCACAGCGTTCTACCAATGCAAAAAAAAAGGAAAGACTACTTTTTTTGTACTGTAGTCTGTAGGGGTCATGAAACGTCGAGAAAACATAAAAGTTCGCACATTATCTTTACGTACCTACAAGAATAAAGCAGCTTTTTTCCCTAAATTCCTAATAATAATACACAATAATACATCAGTTACTGATGTTAAATTTCTTGCGCGAGTCGTAGCCGAGTTTAATTGAAAAAAGGCAATAATAATGACTTTAAAAAATATTTTAAAAGAAAAGTTAGTTTTCTCCAAAGTTTTAAAATGTATTATAAATGAATGAAAAAAAGCGATTCAAGAGTGGGATAAGAAGAATGAAAAAAAAAAAAACCGAATATTTTATATCGAAACATTGGGAAACGGAAATATCAAAAATCGAGAAATCCAAAAAGATCGAGGAGTAGAAAACTTGAAAATTTTAAAGTTAAAAAAATCTGTATATCGAAAAAATTGAAAAATCGAAAAGTCGAAAAATTGAATATTCGTAATATGTATTGAAAAATCGCAAAATTAAAACATGGTAAAATTAAAAATGGAGAAATTGAAAAAGTAAAAAATCGAGAAATTGAAAAGTCGAAAAATCGAACAATGGAAATATTGAAAAATCCCAAAAATTTGGAAAAATTGAGAAATCGCAAATTCGAATAATCTGAATACATATTGAAAAATCTCAAAACTGACATATCGAAAAATCGAAAAATGAAAGAAAAACTTAAAAATCCCAGAACTAAAACATTTGCATAATCGAGTAATCGAAAAAATGTAAATGACAAATCGAAAAGTCGAAAACCGAAGTCGAAAAATCTAAAAAACGAAAAATCTAAAACTTGAAAATCGAAAAATTGAAGAATCGAAAAGTCTGAAAACCGAAACCTTGAAAAGTCGAAATATTGAATATTTAGAAGCGTCAAAAATTGAAAAATCGACAACTTAAGAAATCGAGAAACCCAAAATTTGAAGAACCGAGAAATTGAAAACTCCCAACACTGAAATACAAAAAAATTGAAAATCGGAAAACCCAGAAATCGAAAATCCAGAAATTTATAAAGTGCAAAAATTGAAAAATCGGAAAATTGACGAATCGAGAAACTGTAAAATCAAGGTTTTTGTAGCTTTTGGATTTTTAAGTTTCCCAATTTTTAATTTTTCGATTTTTCAATTTTTCGTTTCATCAATTTCCAATTTTTAGATGTTTTAGTTTTCATTTTATACTTTTTCGTTTTTTCATACTTGATTTTTCAATTTTACAAGTTGAAAAATCGAAAAATTAAACAATCGAAATATGAAAAGTCGCAAAATTAAACTAACGAAGACAATAGACAGCGCGTGGGCGGGGTTAGTACCTGCTAAAATAAGATCGATTTTAATAAATGACATAAGAAAGAAAATAGAGGGAGGGTGGGCGGGGTTAGTATCTGCAAGATAAGACTGAGTTTAACAAATGAAGTATCCTCTAAGGAATTTAATTAAATTATTATAAGAAAAGACACTAGAAGCACTTTCAAATTCTTTTCAAACAGGAATACCTACTACCTCAAAATTTTAAATTAAAAAAAAAAAAAAATCGGAGTCCCAAAATTAACTCAAAAACAGGTCAAGTCAGAATTTTCCAAAAATAGAACACCAAAGTGCTTCAACATTGTTTTAAATAATTTACAAAAAAATTGGTCGAAAGGTGTTCCGACAGAGCTTCCCTCACACCTAAAGTACAATAAACATATTCAGCATTTTCGAGTTGAATTTTTTCTTTACACAATTGCAGTGTAATATTACAATAAAATAACAGTATTGTATTCCCAAAATTTACTGGGAAAAAAATTAATTGACACATTCATTAATTTTTTTTTTTGGGTCACCTGTATAAGCAAATCTAAAAAAAATTAATGCACTAATAAATCACAAGTAAAAACTCATCATCTTTTGCACATTTCGGGTAGGAATTTAACTCGTTACTATGGAAATTTGCAATTTACCACTTTTAAATTTTGGTTCTAATTTTCAATTTCGGATTTTTCGGTTTTTCAAAATTTCGGTTCGAATAAATTTGTTCTTTTAGTTAAAAAATCGAAAAACGACAAATCGTGAAAAGGAAAAATTTTCACTTGAGAACTTTGAAAATTAAAAATCAAAAAATTCCAAAATTGTAAAGTTAAAACTTGAAAAATCAAAAGACTGCAATTGAAAACTGCAAAATTGTCAAACAAATTATCAAATGAAATATTTAAAAGTTCAAAAATCTAAAAACTAAAAAGATTTTTTTTTTCAATTTTTTGGTATTTCAGTTTTTGATTTTCCGATTATACAGTTGTACAATTTTCCGATTTTTTCATTTATCCGATTTTTTAATTTGTTATTTTTTTTATTTCTACCAAGTACTGCCCCACCCACGCAGCTTTATTTTCTACCAAAATCAGTCTTATCTTTGCAAGTACTAGCCAACAAATATTGATTTTTGGATTTCTGGACTATAATATTTCGAAGTCCGGAGTTGAAGCTTTAAATCTCAAAACTTAGATGGTATCGTATCAGGATGTTGATAAAACAGAATTATACCATGAAAACTAAAATTGGCAGTTTTTTCTGAAATAAAAATGGAACTTCAGAATTTTCAAATTCAATTTTTAAAGGTCAACGCCACACTTTTTAAATAGCAAAATTTTACCGTTTTAAAATTTTCAGCTACTTATATCGTAGATACTTCTAGAGCTTCGATTTTAAAATTTCTCTCTGAGTTTCAGTAAAACGAAATAAAATTATGTAAAGAAATTGACGTGTTTTTCCTGTGAAAAGTAGTAGAAAGTCAAAATTAACTTCAAGGCTTTGACTTTTTAAATCGGAAGGTTTGCAACATTGTTTTAAAATTTTGATTTTTAAAATTTCGAAGATATATTTTTAGATATTTAAGAAAAAACTGTCAAATACGAAGCCCTAACATTTTAAACAATGAAATTTTGACATAAATCGCAAATCCTTAGTTTTAAAATTTTACTGTTCTTTACATTAAAAGGAAGCGATTTTGCCAACAATTAGAAATCACACTTTTTTCTAAAACAAACGTAAAAGCTTTAAAATGAACTGCAAAACTTTGACTTTTCAGGTACTAAACTTTGGAAACATCTGATAGTTTTAACCTTCGAGATCTCAAATATCGATTTTTGGATTTCTAGCCTAAATTATTTCGATTTTCTACTTTTTAAGTAGTAAAGTCTGGTAATTACTAAGATATTGTTTTGACTTTCGATGTCTCAAATGTCGTTTTCGGAGTTGAAGCTTTAAATCTCAAAACTTCCATTTAATCGTATCAGATTCTTGGTGATAAAACATAATTATACCCTATACCACGAATATCTAGAACTGACAGTTTTTGACAAATAAAATCGGAGATTCAGAATTTTCAAATTCGATTTTTGGACATTTTTTTAAAAATCAAAACTTTACTATTTTAAAATCTTCAAGTGTGATGAACTTCTTATATTTTCAGTAAAACGAAATAAAATTAAAAACAAAATTGACGCTTTTTTCTCGTGACTAGTCAAAAGGTCAAAATTAGGTTCAAGGCTTTGACTTTTTAAATCGTGAAGCTGGCGGTATAATTTTAATTAAAGTTTTGACTATTGACATTTCGAAGATCGATTTTTAGACGTTTGAGATATAATTGTCAAAGCGTAAGCTCTAAATTTTGAAATAATAAAAATATGACATAAATCGTGAGGTCCTCATTTTAAAATTTTACCGTTGTTTACATTAAAACGAAGCAAATTTTGCCAAAAATTGGAACTCTTTTTCAAACAAAAGTAGAAGCTTTAAAATGAATGACAAAACTTTGACTTTTTAAATACTAAAGTTTGGAAATTAGTCCGATAGTTTTAATTTTCGAGATCGCAAGTATCTCAAGTATCGGTTTTTGAATTTCTAGACTTGTAGGAATATTTCGAATTTTGGAGTTGAACTTTGAAAATCTCAAAACTCCAATATTTTCGTATCAGAATTTTGACTTTAAAACTACGATAAAACCACTTATACCACGAAGATCTTGAATTTACAGTTTTTGCTGAAATTAAAATGGAGCTTCAGAATTTTCATATTCAATTTTTGAAGGTCGACAATACAGTTTTTAAAATATTGAAGCTTTACCTACTACTTTAAAATTTCCAACTATAATGTATATATTTATGAAGTACCTATAGCATAACCTCTATAATCCGAACCCACGATTATCCGAACAGAAGCTATTTGAAGTCGATATCTCTTTAATCCGCAGAGTGGGTTATCTGCCAAAATTACTCTTATTTTAAAAAGTACTAGACCCGCCCACCCGTATTTTTTTAGAGGATGTCATTTGTAAAATTCAGTTTCATACTTGCCAAGATAAGACTGATTTTGGCAGATGACCTATTCTTTATTTTCTTAGAACAGTAGGTCATTGACCAAAATGAGTCTTATTTTGGCAAATACTAGTTAAGTTAAGTAGTTAAAATCAGTTTTATCTTAACGAATACTAGGCCCGCCCACCCGCCCCCTATTTTCCCAGAGGATATGTCATTTGCCAAAATCAGTCTTATCTGAGCAAGTGCTAGCCCCGCCCACCCGCTCTTTATTTTCTCAGAGGGTAGTACTTGCTAAGACAAGTCTTGTTTTGACAAATGACATATCCACTGAGAAAATACGAGCGGGTGGGCGGAGCTAGCTAGCACTTGCTCAGATAAGACTGATTTTGGCAAACGCCATATTCTCTGACAAAATAGGGGGCGGGTGGGCGGGGCTAGTACTTTCTAAGATAAGACTGATTTTGCACCCATTAAACTTGTAAAAACTGGTTAAATTTAAAAGGTGTTAAATTACATATTTCCATAGTAACGAGTTAAATTCCTAAATCTGATTGGATATTTATTTTTTAACAACTCAGTCATTAGTTTTTCTGAGACACCCTGTACAAGCAAAATAAAAAATATTAATTATATATTAAAAATAAATAGAGTCATCATATTTTGCACATTTAAGATAGGATTTATTCGGCAATATTTTGAGGTGATGTCATCAATTTTTTAAGAGGGATGAGCAAATACATTTTGATTAAAATATATCATTAGATCAACGGCGCTGTACTTTCGGAGATTATCTGTCTAATAAAAATCCGGGACGGCAGACAGACGGACGGACAGACAGACAGACAGACGGAAACGGGAGACCTATTTCTTCATCCTCTAAGGGTCATGAAAGGTCGAGAAAATGCAAAAGTAGGCAGCTTACGCTCGGGAAGTAAAACAATTGATGTAGTTTCCGGAAAAACCGAAGGTGATGTACTGCCACAGAGACATTATCGACAAACAGGCAACTAGAACACCCGGTATATAAAAATAATATACCAAATGGCACTCAAACACCACTAAAACGCTCGTAGAAGTCTGAAAATCCCACCAAATCGCCTTTCGTCATACCATTCAAGATGACTGTGCACTTGCCGTAATCAGCAGCTAGGCAATTGTAAATGGGTCGAGACGGTAATCAATTTAGACAATTTCTAATTTTGTGAATAATACAACGAGGGCTGTAAAACATTAACCGCAGACAACCTATATAAACTAAAATAATGAACGCATCAAGTTATTGCCGTACAAAATGCACATTACGGTGTTGTTGTTTTTCGCTTGCATCGCCTTAACCTTAGGGGTGAGTACACTGAGTGATAATCATAGTCGCGACTACGGGGCAACTTTTCCAGATTCCTGCGTTTGACTTGGAGGAAAAAGATGACACTCCACTACCAGGTGAGCATTTGTCGTTTTGTTGGGATTAACGATAGTTTCGTTTTTCAGTTAAACACCGCCAGACTAGATCCATAGTGGCGATATTGTCGTTTTTCCCACTCATGATTCTCGGCTTCGTCGTCGTTCGGATTGTCGTTTTTGTGGTCCGTCTACCGTTCATACTATTATTGAAGCTCGTGCATTTACCGGGCACAATAATCTGGACCATAACACACCCGCTGGAAGCCTTTAAGGAGCTCCTGCTGGTCAGAATCCTGTTGTTGCCAATAAGAATTGTACGCTTCGTTGCCCGCCTTATATTTTCCCCCGCCCGAACAATAATATCCATAATACAGTGTGCATTGCGTTCTTAAATTGTTTATATTTCATTTCTGTCAATTCAATAAAGTGTCGATATTACGCCTGCGTTTGCTTACCCACGACGTCCCCCTTCAGGACCTGCATCGCTCCCGCCAAGTTCTTCGGGTTCGTGGAGCAGCTGTCGAAGGCGACGTTGAGCGTCGCCGTCACGTGAGACGTGAAGCACTCCAGATACTTGACCAAGAGCGTCTCGCAAGCGTCCTGGCACTCCACCTCCTTGGAGAAGATCCTCCCGATCAACAACCTCTGGAAGCGCGACAGGAGTTTCAAGCTCGGCGACGGCACGTTTTTCTGCAGCGCCGCCTTGCCGAACTCCCGGAGGTACGTCTGCGTCTGAGCGCTGCCGTTCCGGATGAGCTGCTTGATGAGGTAGAGCAGCGGGATGGTGATGTGGGTCGTGGACTGCTCGAAAGTCTCGTCGGAGTCGGTCAGCTCGGAAATGTCGAGACCTAGGGCCTCGTTGAGGGCGGTCTCGAGCCCGCCGTCCGCCATGAGGCTCCACACGAGCAGGTCGGTCATGAAGCGGTGGCCGGACTTGCACATCTTCGCCTCGGAGTCGCTGTTGAGGAGGAGGGAGCTGAGGATGCGAGCGCGCCCGTTGGCGGTAGGAAGGAGGACCGACCAGCCGGCTTGGAGGGCGTTTTGGGCCGCTAATTGCACGGAGGGGAGGATGTCGGAGGCGCTGGCGAGGCACACGACTTGGGTCTTTAAACTCCCGAGGAGCTTGCTGGTTGGGGAGATCCCGAGGGATTTTGTGTCGAGATTGTTGCTGATGATGCTATGAAGCTGCAAAAAAATCATTGTTAAGATTACTTTCCTAGTAAATTTTTATTAATAAAAGTATAGGCTAAGGATTGTTGTTTGGATGCAGGTGGGTTTGACCCCACACCCTCCGTCCCAATTGTCTAGTTTTATAAATACGATAAGAATTAATTACTTTGGGTGGATAAATGCGGATTTGGATATATTTGATTTTTTATATTTGGAGAACGTTATCGGGGTTTCGGATGGGTGATAAAGCCAACTCTGATTATTTTGGTGCGTTGCACGCTAAAACATGCTGCACAAAATGGGTTACTTGCCCTTTCTTATTGTGATGGGGCTAAATTGTGTGTTTTGTGACGAAACAACAACAGAATCAACAGAAACGACACCATACCCAGATTATGTAAGTGAAAATTATATGCTAAAAAGTGACTTAAGTACAACGCAAATTGATGTACTTAATTGGCACAATTAAATTAAATGCAGTATCCAAATCCACCAACTGCTTATTGTACACCGCTGTATTATCATTAAGTCATTACAAGTATTACAACCTACTTACTCTTATTTAAATGTGCGCAACATTAATTTAAACACTCTGTACAATACAATACAATAATATTAATATAATACAATAGAATATTACAACTTGTCAACATAAACTATTTAAATGTTTCGAAAAAGTATGCTTATAAGATTTCATTATGCAAATTTTATTTTTTATGATTTGGTTATGTAAATAGTTTTGAGGTTAGAAAATCTTTTTTCTCTGCTCCTCTACTAAGAAAAAACTTTGCACCGTCATTCACTTCATTTAAAAAATGTTGGTGAAAAAACGCAAGAGCGAAAACGCAAAAATAAATTTTTGACATTTGAGTACAAAAAAGTGACAAGTGAGTCCGAAAAAGTAATTTTGACATTTGAGTATAAAAAAGTGACACTTCATGGACCTGACTGGAAGCGTAAAACGACTAGATTTGTGTGTTTTTTTAAGACTCCTTATATTCTTAGCACTCCTGATTTTTATTAATACTCAAGTAAGAATTTTTTAATCGAGTCCGTCGACCGACTCTTACTTTTGTTTTGAAAGCTTTTTTTCCTTAAATCTCGGCGTTCTCGGCAGAATTGAATCACTTTAATCCTATTTCAAAAGTTTGGGATATTTTCGACAAAATGCAAATTTGGAACGATTCTTAAAATATTAAAATTGTCTGTAAATTCGATAAAATGCACACACCATTGAGAGCCAATGAAATTTTTATTGGTTGTGCGTTTTTCAATAAAAATAGGCAAAAAGGTAAAACTAACCCCACCCACCTCCGCTTTTGGATGTCATTGGTTTTTTTGATTAGATGAAGACTGAATTTTCCTATGTCAAATGGCGAACTAGACTTACAAAAATTCAAAGTGGCCCCGCCCACCCACCCAGTTTTTGGTCACTCGCTTTATTGGACGAAAAGTGCATTTTACATTGAATAACAGTGGAATCTAGTATCCTAGGCAAAAAGCTAAAACTAACTCCACCCACCTCCGCTTTTGAATTTCATTACCTTATCTGGTTGGATGGAAATCGAATTTTATTTTGTCGAGCGGCCTAATCTACTTCTAAAAATTCAAAGTGGCCCCTCCCACCCACCCGGTTTTCCTTCTGTTCACTCATTCTATTGGACAAAACAGGAATTTTAAAGTGACAAACAACGAAATCTGGACATGTTCATTGGTTTTTTCATTAGATGAAGACTGAATTTTACTACGTCAAGTGGCGAATCAGGCTTAAGAAATTCAAAGTGGCCCCGCCCACCCAACCTCTAAGAAAAGAGAGGGTGGGCCAGTACCTGCTAAGATAAGACTGATTTTGGAAACCCTATGAGAAATCTAAAAATCCAAAAGTCGAATAGTTTTAAAAATCGAATAACCGAAAGACCTAAAATTTAAAATTCAGAAATTAAAATAACGAAAAATTGGAGAATCGATCGAAAAGTTGAAAAACCGAGAAATCGAAACATTGGGGAACGTAAATATCAAAAATCGTGAAATCCAAAAATCGAGAAATCCAAAAATCGAGGAGTAGAAAAATTGAAAATTTTAAAGTTAAAAAATCTGTATATCGAAAAAATTGAGAAATCGAAAAATTGAAAAATTGAATATTCCTAATATGTATTGAAAAATCGCAAAATTAAAACATGGTAAAATTAAAAATGGAGAAATTGAAAAAGTAAAAAATCGAGAAATTGAAAAGTCGAAAAATCGAACAATAGAAATATTGAAAAATCCCAAAAATTTGGAAAAATTGAGAAATCGAAAATTCGAATAATCTGAATACGTATTGAAAAATCTCAAAACTGACATATCGAAAAATTGAAAAATGAAAGAAAAATTTTAAAATACTAGAACTAAAACATTTGGATAATCGAGTAATCGGAAAAATGTAATTGACAAATCGAAAAGTCGAAAACCGAAGTCGAAAAATCTAAAACTTGAAAATCGAAAAATTGAAGAATCGAAAAGTCTAAAAATCCAAACCTTGAAAGGTCGAGACATTGAATATTTAGAAACGTCAAAAATTGAAAAATCGGAAACTTAAGAAATCGAGAAATCGAAAATTTGAAGAAGCGAGAAATTGAAAACTCCCAACACTGAAATACCAAAAAATTGAAAGTCGGAAAACCCAGAAATCGAAAATCCAGAAATTTTTAAAGTGCAAAAATTGAAAAATCGGAAAATTTGCGAATCGAAAAACTGTAAAATCAAGGTTTTTGTAGTTCTTCGATTTTGAAGTTTCCCAATTTTTAATTTTTGGTTTCATCAATTTTTCAACTTTTTGATTTCCAATTTTTAGATGTTTTAGTTTTCATTTTATACTTTTTCGTTTTTTCGTACTTGATTTTTCAATTTTGCAATTTTGCAATGCTTCCATTTTTTATTCGAAGTTGAAAAATCGAAAAATTAAACAATCGAAATATTGAAAAGTCCCAAAATTAAACTAAGGAAGACAATATAGAGGGCGTGGGCGGGGTTAGTACTTGCTAAAATAAGATCGATTTTGGTAAATGGCGTAAGAAAGAAAATAGAAGGAGGGTGGGTGGGGTTAGTATCTGCTAAGATAAGACTGATTTTGGCAAATGGAAATATCTTCTAAGAAAAGAGAGGGTGGGTGGGCGGGGCTAGTACCTGCTAAGATAAGACTGATTTTGGCAAACCCTCTGAGAAATCTAAAAATCAAAAAGTGGAATAGTTTTAAAAATCGAATAACCGAAAAACCTAAAATTTAAAATCCAAAAATTAAAATAACGAAAAATTGGAGAATTGATCGAGAAGTTGAAAAACCGAGAAATCGAAACATTGGGAAACGGAAATATCAAAAATCTAGAAATCCAAAAATCGAGGAGTAGAAAAATTGAAAATTTTAAAGTTAAAAAAATATGTATATCGAAAAAATTGAGAAATCGAAAAGTGGAAAAATTGAATATTGGTAATATGTACTGAAAAATCGCAAAATTAAAACATGGTAAAATTAAAAATGGAGAAATTGAAAAAGTAAAAAATCGAGAAATTGAAAAGTCGAAAAATTGAACAATGGAAATATTGAAAAATCCCAAAAATTTGGAAAAATTGAGAAATTGAAAATTCGAATAATCTGAATACATATTGAAAAATTTCAAAACTGACACATCGAAAAATTGAAAAATGAAAGAAAAATTTAAAAATCCTAGAAGTAAAACATTTGAATAATCGAGTAATCGGAAAAATGTAAATGACCAATCGAAAAGTCGAACACCGAAGTCGAAAAATCTAAAACTTGAAAATCGAAAAATTGAAGAATCGAAAAGTCTAAAAATCGAAACCTTGAAAAGTCGAAACATTGAATATTTAGAAACGTCAAAAACTGAAAAATCGAAAACTTAAGAAATCGAGAAATCGAAAATTTGAAGAACCGAGAAATTGAAAACTCCCAACACTGAAATACCAAAAAATTGAAAATCGGAAATCCCAGAAATCCAAAAACCAGCATTTATAAAGTGCAAAAATTGAAAAATCGGAAAATTGACGAATCAAGAAACTGTAAAATCAAGGTTTTTGTAGTTTTTCGATTTTTAAGTTTCCCAATTTTTAATTTTTCGATTTTTCAATTTTTCGTTTCATTAATTTTTCAACTTCTTGATTTACATTTTTTAGATGTTTTAGTTTTCATTTTATACTTTTTCGTTTTTTCATACTTGATTTTTCAATTCTACAATTTTGCAATGCTTCCATTTTTTATTCGAAGTTGAAAAATCGAAAAATTAAACAATCAAAATATTGAAAAGTCCCAAAATTAAACTAACGAAGACAATAGAGAGCGCGTGGGCGGGGTTAGTACCTGCTAAATTAAGATTGATTTTGGTAAATGACATAAGAAAGAAAATAGAGGAAGGGTGGGCGGGGTTAGTATCTGCTAAGATAAGACTGATTTTGGCAACTGAGATCCCTCTGAGGAATCTAAAAATCGAAAAGTCGAATAGTTTTAAAAATCGAATAACCGAAAAACCTAAAATTTAAAATTCAAAAATTAAAATAACGAAAAATTGGAGAATCGATCGACAAGTTGAAAAACCGAGAAATCGAAACATTGGGAAACGAAAATATCGAAAATCGAGAAATCCAAAAATCGAGGAGTAGAAAAATTGAAAATTTTAAAGTTAAAAAAATCTGTATATCGAAAAAATTGAGAAATCGAAAAGTCGAAAAATTGAATATTCGTAATATGTATTGAAAAATCGCAAAATTAAAACATGGTAAAATTAAAAATGGAGAAATTGAAAATGTAAAAAATCGAGAAGTTGAAAGTCGAAAAATCGAACAATGGAAATATTGAAAAATCCCAAAAATTTGGAAAAATTGAGAAATCCAAAATTCGAATAATCTGAATACATATTGAAAAATTTCAAAACTGACACATCGAAAAATTGAAAAATGAAAGAAAAATTTAAAAATCCTAGAACTAAAACATTTGGATAATCGAGTAATCGGAAAAATGTAAA